ATTCCGTGTTGATCAAAAAATTTTTATTAGTGAGTGACACTTGACCCCCTGTAGATCCGCAATGTCCTGCGACTGATGTGTTTTTTATTAATCTAATTATCCCTGCTGATCCTTATTTAAAATTGATGCAGATCACTCCTTCTTGGTGTAATTATTATTAATAATATATATTAGATCGATCGGCAAAACACAATATTTAATTGGCAATCCAAAGATGAAAAAAAAAAATTTTCATTATCCCTAATATTTATTTATTTATTTTTCCACACTACACCATTTAACAAACTTACTACTTGTTAAAAACTTTCATTTTTTTTTATTAGAAGAAATGACTAATAATTATACTAACAATGTTGTTAAAAGAAAAGGAAAGGATCGTGTTGTTGTTCCTAAAAGGTAAATATTATTTATTATTAAAAGAGTGATAGTTACAATGTGTTGTCATTCTAGTTATATAAATTAACATGGTTATTACATTAATTACTGTTTGTTTCTTAGAAGAAAAACGAGAACAACAAAGTAAATAATATCTCTGTCAGAATGGCTGTTTTGTTTTTAATTGACCTATATAGAGTTTTTGATATTAACTCATTTTGAACTCACAGGAAAACGAGGAACAATTAATATCATCGTTTGAACCACGTTTCATCAACTATCTTTTGAAAATCCCGAGATTTTATCCAAAGAAATTTTTTTTCTGCTTTTACCAATAGCAACACTACTACATTAATCGATCCGCAATTATTATTATCACCGTTACAAGACATTATGATAGAATGTTAATTAATAATTTTAATAATGGTTACGAATATTTGGCGAATGGAGGGAGGATTTATTAAATCATGATATTTTACAAATTTCTTCAAATGGAATTTCTTTTGATCAACATTTCATTTCTTCTTCTTCTTCTTCTTCTTCTTCTTCTGAGGATCAAAATCTTGACGGTCATCCTTCATCTTCTCGTATTCATCACGACAACAATATTTTTGCAATTAGTAAGGCTCCATTGAGGCATCTTATAAAAGAAATTGCAAAAAATTTTAAATTTGACGTAAGGTTTCAAAATGTTGTGATAGATAAAATCCAAGAGGTACACTCTAATCATTTCAATCATTGTTGGCGTGAAAATCAAGATTGCATGAATTCCATGCAAAGTGAAATCCACAGAAATTTCAAATTGACATTGTGTGAAAACCAAATCGTGTGAATTTTAAAATCTATGCAAATTTTAAAATTGACATTGTTGGTTGTTTTTGAATTAAAAAAAAAGATATTTCTTTATTTATTTATTTATTTTATAGCACCACTACCACCAAAGGAGAATCGTAATTATATATTTTATTTGTTAACTTTGTTCGTTTTTTGTTTTTGAATCGAAAAAAAGATATTTATATATTTCTTTATTTATTTTATAGCACCACCACCAAAGGATATTTTCAAAACAGATGCCGAAAAAAACAATTACGATACTTATTTAGAGATGCGTATGTAAAAAAAAAATTAATTTTTAAAATTAATTTTTTATTGCAGAAATTTATGCGCATCTCACGCAAATAGAATAGCATTGATGCCAATAGATCTCGAATCTGCATCACAATTTCGTAATATAATTAGGATAGATTAGGATCGATACTTTCTACGCTCCAAAATATTTTCGGCAATAAACTTGGATCTTTCAGCAAGACTTTAATTATATCTGTTTTAATTTGTATATCTTTTCGAAAAACCATTTCGGTTTTAAATTCTATAATTTTGATTATAATTATATCTTGGTCAAATAAATAATATTACAGGAAGAAATTATTAAAATCATTTTATGATTCTTGTTACTTGCTTGATATTGCTAAAAATATTAAATTTATTAATATTAATATATAATAAATAATCACTGCACATAATAATTTATACATAATCCATATTTTTTTTCTCGGAGTTTTACAGAAAATATGATTTTATTCAGAGGTTGCATAATATTATCAAAACTACTGAGGTAGAGTAACCATTGATATTG